ACTTAAATTTAATTATGAAGAAACACCAGACACTGAGAAATAGTCTATAAAATACCTTGTCAATAGTCTTCAAATCTTCAATACCATAAAAAAAAGGAGTGAGAAACTGTTTTAGATCAAAGGAGACTAAGAACAAATGATTAAATGGGATGCATGAGACTGGGTTGAATATTGCTCTACAAAAAGCACATTGTTGGGGTGAATGTTAGTCTTTGAATAAGGTTGGTAGAGTTAAGAATATTTTCATGTCAATGCTAATGTCCCAGTTTTTATCACTGTGCTGTGATTATGAACGTTGTTAACATTTGAGAAGCATTATGAAGTGCATTTGGGAATTCTTTGTGCTGTTTCTACTTTGTATACAGTCTTTTGTGTACATATTAAATTATTTCAATATGGAAATTCAAATATGAAAAAAGAACTAAAAAGAGAACTATTCCAATATAAATTGAAGCTACAAAAGGAGAAAATATCCAGGGGCATTGAATTATTCTTGTGGCATATTCCTGAAAGCACCTGTTCTGGCACTGGCAGTGTTACTAATGCCTTGGGGCACTTCTACCTTCTGTTCATTCTTCATTATGTCAGTCTTTCTATTCCATTATCAGTGCCTTATATATTTTCATACTTCCTATCTTTTGTGTTGTTACAATCTAGGATTTTAAAGCCATGCTTGCAAGGCTGACAACTATGACAGTTCTGTCTGACTTAGGGAAATAGTTTACTCTAAATGCCAAAGAAGCATCTTTTATATATTCTTGTATTTTATCCTTCTTCAGTTATAACTAATTTTGTTAGTTAAAATAAATTGAGTTAAAAATAATTTTCAAGAATACATGTGGCAATTCACTTTGTATCATTAATGCAACATTTCCAATGTGTATATTTATTATAAAGAAATGTACTTGCCATGTACAAAATGCCACTTAGAAAGTAATGCCAATACATCTTTATTATGATACAGTTTTAAAGGTGTTGGTTACTGCATTAGCTTTAAGTTCAACTCTCAGTTACAGAATGACTTACAAATCTTATAAATATTGTTCCTCCTTTTCACAAACTTGGTAGTATAGGGCTCCAATTGCAGTTTCACAAGCATCGTTGACCCAATCCATGTTGTTACTCAGCCGTCTTCAATCTCTAGCTTTCACCCTGTGGTCCAAAGCGACTGCTCTAATGCTAGTCACCATTATAACATCCCAGCTTTCAGGGAAACAGACATGAAAAAAGAAGGTTACTCCTTCATAGAAATTTGTTGCACAATATTTGTTTGTGTCGCATTGGCCAAAAATTAATTACAGGGTCACAGACATAAGTGAGGGAGCCTGGGAAGTATAGTATATTCAGGGAAGCCAGGTATATGGGGGATCCTATTATTCTATAAAAGCAGGATACATATTGGGCAACAGCTAGTTGTTTTTGTAAAAATTACTTAATGGATAGATAGAAAAGAAAAAGTATCTGTAACCATCCAAATAAGAAACTTTATTTCATATGCAATTTCAAATAATTTTTAACTTAAAATGTTACATAATAGCCCTTCTTGTTATACAAAACAGCAAAAATATTGTCACTTACTGATAGTCTTAATCATCACATCACAGTTCTCCAAATTTAAAACTCTGCTTAACAAGTTACTGATCATCTTGGAGGAGGAAGAAGGTCGTGATAGGGAAGGGGCATGTAAATGGGTTTCTGGAACACTGAGAATGTTATGTCTTGACCTCAGCGGTGGTTAAATGAGTGAACACTTTATAAATATTAGTTATGTTTTCTGTAACTTTTAAAAATGCATGTTTAGTTTTCAATGTAAAATTAAATATAGATATATGTGTGAAAAAATAAAAACTAACTCAATTAAGATATTTATTAACTTAAATTTGGAATCAGTAAGTCCATTTAAAAGAAGTATTGCATCTCATTATTCTAGAAATTAACACAATCCCAGGGCAGAAAAACAGTTATTACAAACATTTGACTAAACCATTGAATATGCCCAAATTGTATTGTGCTGAACACACTTATTAGGGACTCTTATTTGCAGAACACTGTGCCAGTTTATCTTATCCTATCATCTCTTGGACAACTTCCCAGTATATGCCATAGAAATATGGCATTATAGACTTTAATTGCGTGCATTTTATGGCTGCTGCCAACATAAGGGTAAAAAGATTAATCACTCCTGCGCTTAGTAAACAAACTAGGGCCTTTTAAAGATTTCAGTCTTGTTCATTTTTCCAAATGCACAGAAGTACATTTTGATTGACTGCCTTTCCCACTATTTCAATGGTCAAACTAAAAGCCAGGACACTTCTCAACAAGAAGAAAAACGCATTTGAAATACAGTACACCTGGGAATAAAAATGTTGAATAAAACTAGCAATTTCAGTTCAAAGACTTTTGCATTGTTTTAAATAAAATGACAAAGAAATACCCTATATTAAGTAAGGTATCTATTTTTTTTTCAAAATGGCACATTTATGTATGTTTAGAAACAAAAGTTGGGAGGACATTACAGGATACTATGTGCTTTTAAGATGCTCTAAAACAAAAGTACAATTCAACTTTCTATCAAACTTTGCATTGAGCAGTAAGCAGAACTTTCTGTAGATTAAAAGAAAAAAATTTTTCTGTGCTCAGTTCTCTGCTGGTGTCTATGACCCTTGGTTAACTTTTATGCTTTCAATTTGGCTTTGTTCTGGAACATTTTTTCCTGTTTTACTTAAAGTACTTTCAGTTGCTTTGGAGGGAAAATTGTATTATCAAAAGCAATTGCTGTTATGACACTACTTCTAGAATCTTAGAGCTTGACAACTAGTCTTAGACTTCTGCCTTTTAAAACAGATTCTAGGATTTCGTTTTTGCTATGTCCAATCATACCAAACCATACTTATTGTTAGCTTGCTGAATGGAAAAGCTTGGAATAGTTTATAACACTGACTGACCTATGAATGGGAAATGCTATCCCATGAGTAAAGGAAACAGTCAAATTCGAGGGGTGCAGCAATTGACAAGATCAGAGCACTAAATCGTACCTCTGAGGATCACACTGTCACACTCGCCCTAAGGTAAAACCTCAACATTTTTATCATCATTGTTCCAGGTAACACCTTACCTAAAGAAAAAAGACACCAAAAAGATTCAAGTAGCATCTTAGATTATCCAGCTTCTATTCCCACAGAGATAAGGCTTGACTCATAGTTCTAAGATCAAAATCCCTTGTTAGAAAACTATACATGAAAAAATTACCTTGGAGGAGAATGGTAAATTTTAAATGATGGGGAAAAGAAAAGATATTAATAACATGTTTTGAAAATTATTTGACATATCAGTAAATTATTACTTGATAATGATTAAGTAAATGATTTTGTAACTAATTAGGGGTTTAACCCACATTAAGAACAGACTCTCCTCTAGCTCTGTTTTCTCACACTCAGTAGTTGTCTTGAAAGTGCAGATGGACATTGGAAATCTCTGAGACCCCATACCCTAATATCAACCTCATGAACAAGCAAAATCTCTCTATACTGTGAAGTAACCTTGCTTTTCATAGATACAAATTTTTTATTATGATTGTCAATATTCTTTTACAATATCCATGGTTAGCTTGTTCAATTTGTACTGCTATAAGTTAGTATACACAGTATCTGTCTCAACTACCTTTCATTGAAGAAATAATTAATGAATGCCCCCCAAACTGCTCATATATGATGATGCACCTTCTTTACAAGTACTCACAACAACATCTAACTTATTCATGGCAGAAAGGGTCTAATAACACTTCCAATAATTGGAGCAACCACTTTTAATTATATCCACAGATCAATTAGTAAGAAGTGCAGCACTTTATTTATTTATTTTTTTAATTTTACTTTATTCCTGAAACATCTGATCTCTCAGAGTCATAGATCCAAGCTGATGCCCTAATTCCCCTATAGCTTCCATTGCAGAAGTTAAAAAAATGTATCTGTCATCCTGAAAAAAAATATTTCTGGGTAATAGTCTCAATCTCACCATTTTCTTCTGGAAGCACATTTTTTCAGCAGCAGCTCATCCACCACCTATCACAAGTATTCAGTCTCGGATATGGTGATCACTGTCTCAATAACTTAATTATAGTTTCAGTCTCACCCAAATATGTATTCTCTAAATGTAGATTTCTTGGCATCTTTGGGCCAAAAATGGCAATTCAAAATCTATTAATTAATTTGAAATTCATAGTAACCCTAGATATGCCTCCAGCTAACACAAGTCTGCCTCATTCAAAACTGGACCAAGGTAAGGACATCCAAACAGCACGGAAAGCTAGAATTGAATAGGAGCATAAACACAAGTGCTCACTTTGAGTGATTGCATGGAGTGCAGATTGTTTTGGAAGCATGCTAAGATCATTCTAAGTTGTATGCAAGTGGAAGATGATTTGGAATTTAATATGAGCCAGAAATCCCATTTTGTATGAAACAAATAAATAAACGTCACACATTTGTACAAACAGGTAACCGGTGCATTTGGGGAATTCTGCCTCTTGGAAAAGACAAACTATTCATTGTGTGTCATCAGAATTATAAAAAAAAAAATCACAAATATTCAATATGACATTTTCTTCAACTATAGGAAACAAAACTAGAAAAACAGCTAGACTACTCTTAGATAAAAATGTTTTGAGTTGATTTTCTAAATAAGTATCACTGCATTTTTCTACCTTTATTGTAAACAAAACAACTTCAATTTTATGCTAAGTCATATACAGATATACTCTACTTTAAATTTATGTACTTATAAAGAATTTCTTTAAATGTATAGTGACAGCTATTTTTCCAGATTGATTGTTTTCATGAGTTTGCCTTTTCAAGTGGTATATAATCCTTGACCTGTTAAAGAAACTGCAGGTTACTTTTCCATCCTTTCCCTCGCCGCCCCCGCCACCCCTGCCTTGCCCCAGGCGCAGCGCCGCTCTGGCTGCACAGTGCTTGCTCTGAGCTCCCAGCAGCTCCATCTACCGGGACCTCATCAACCATGCTGAGGTGTTCTCTGACATCTACAAGATCAGGCAGGTCGCCAAAGGGCTGTGTCTGGAGGTGGAGGGGAAAATGGTCAGTAGGACAGAGTGTAACATTGATGACTCGCTCACTGGTGGAATTGCCTCTGCTGAAGGAACTGAGGAGGAAGGTACAGAAAGCATAGAAATCACTGGTGTCGATATTGTCATGAACCATCACTTGCAGGAAACCAGCTACACAAAAGAAGCTTACAAGAAATACATCAAAGATTACATGAATTCAATCAAAGGGAAACTTGAAGAACAGAGACCAGAAAGAGTAAAACGTTTTATGACAGGGGCTGCAGAGCAAATCAAGCACATACTTGCTAATTTCAACAACTCTCATCTTCTTACTGGTGAAAATATGAATCCAGATGGCATGGTTGTTCTGCTAGACTACCGTGAGGATGGTGTGAGCCCATTTATGATTTTCTTTAAGGGTGGTTTAGAAATGGAAAAATGTTAACAAATTTGGCTGTTCCTTTGGACCTAGCACCTGTTGTCATAACTGGCTGGCCGCAGCTTTTCATTGGCACAACACCAGGATTTGGACAAATGGGACTGATGTCACCTTGAGCTCTTCATTTATTTTAACAGTTGATTTATTTGTAGTGGAAGCATTGCTTTTGAGAAAAAAGGTATGTCATGTAGGTTGTCTAAAAATAAAATGCATTTAAACTCATTTGAGAGAATGCCTCAATATTACAGATATTAATATGTAATATCTAAATCCATCCTGTGTAGTCTTCCTGGAGAAGCTAGAGCCTGGTTGTAGACCACTACTAGAAAGCATAAGACCATCTTCAGATAACTTCTACAGTGAAAACCACTTCTGGCACTTGGAATATAAACAAGAATCAAAAGTAATTGAGTTGTAAAGGGAAAGACCATGCTCATAGCAGTGCCAGCATTTGAAGTGGATTTCTTACACATTTCATCACCTACAAATGGAAGTAGTTAACCCTGGAAGAGATTACCAAAAGAATAAAAAAAGACTAACACAGTTGGAAGCCAAAAAAAAAAAAAAGAAAGAAAGAAACTGTATGTTGCTCTCCCACAAATAACCACCACGTGTAGATACATATTTTTTTGTTTTCACTTCTGACATTCTACAGAACAGAGCAGCAACAAGTAGGATTGTATACTATAAACTTGTACACAGTCCTATAGAGTCAAAAAGTACTTTATGAGGTTTTTAGAAAGCACCAGTAAAATAGCCAGAGACAATGTTGGGGTCTTTGATTTCCCTAACAGATTGAAGAGACACTGTAAATAGCACAGCTGTGTTGATACACATGCACTGTCAACTTGACTTCCCGGTGATCTGATTGTTCATGTGACATTGTTTTCTTCTTCGCTCATCAGTACAGCAAGCTGCTCGTATGAAAGAATTGGCTAGTTACTTCTGTTTCTGTGGTTATAGATGCCCAAACAAAAGTAAAATGATGTAAAGTCTATTCTGTTAACTGTGTGTGGCAAACAGAATAATACCCCTCACCCCTCCCATTCCTACAAAGATGTTCATGCCCTAATCCCTGGAATCTAAGACTCTGTTGTGTTAAGTGACAAAGGATCTCTGCAGATGAGATGGAGGTCACATACTTTATTGAGATTGACCTGGATTATCTGTATGAGGCCAATGTGGCAATGGAAGAAGCTGGAGTGATTCAAAGCATGAAAGGGACTACACCTGTCTTTGGTGACTTTGAAAATGGGAGAAGGTGGCCAAGAGCCATGCAGTGTGGATGGTCTCTGGAAGCTAAGTGCATGTAGTGCATATAGAGCAGTGATTCCACTCCTCAGCATTTACCTGACAGAAATGAAAGCATATGCTGTACAAAGACTTGTACACGGATGTTCATAACACCATCATTTATAATAGCCCCAAATGGAAACAACTAAACTTTCTATAAACAAGTGAATAGATAAACATATTGAAATATAATCATGCAAGGAAATGCTACACATAAAAACAAGAATTATTATAACATACTGCAACATGAATGTATCTCAAATAATTATCCTGAGTGAAAGAAGCCAGACAAAAAAAAGAGTATATACTGTTTGGTTACATTTGTATAAAAACTATAGAAAATTAGGGACTTCTCTGGTGTTACAGTGGCTAAGAATCTGCCTGCCAATGCAAGGGACACAGGTTCGAGCCCTGGTCCGTGAAGATCCCACATGCTGCAGAGAAACTAAGCCCGTGTGCCACAACTACTGAGCCTGCACTCTAGAGCCCGCAAGCCACAACTACTGAGGCCTTCACGCCTAGAGACCGTGCTCCACAAGAGTAGCCACTGCAATGAGAAACCCACGAACTGCAACGAAGAGTAGCCACCTCTCGCCACAACTAGAGAAAAGCCCACGTGCAGCAATGAAGACCCAACACAGCCAAAAATAAGTAAATAAATAAGTATAATAAATTTATTTTAAAAAAACTACAGAAAATTAAAACTAATCCATAGTGGCAAAAAGCTCACCAATAATGGGTGGAGGTCGAGGGGGGCATGGAATGGAGGTAGGCAAGAATGAAGGATTACTTAGTGGCACATGGAAACTTCTGTAGGTGATGGGTATTATATATTATTTATTTTGATATTGCAGGTAGTTTCACATGGGTAAAAATCTGTAGAATACCTTCACATTGACAATTAAATACATGAAACTTATTTGTATGTCAGTTGCATCTCAATCCAAGCCAATAAAAATCTTGGTAATAAATGATACCTAGATGTCTCACTTAGTAAGCAGAATGCTTCTGTATGATCTTGAATGAAATATGAACCGTGGAAGTATTTGCTATCTATAGTAAAAACACATTTTTGCTGTAGGCAAATAAGCTTTGTGTATGTGATGTCTTGAATATCCATTGACTACTTTAGTATGTTACACAGAATTTTAAAATTGTCAGTAGACTGTAGGTAAGATACTTAAAAGAGACTCTCAGTTCCTTGGCTGAAATCTCTAGTTAATGTTGAAAGTAGCAAAGTATATTACAGTGTTTTATTACAAAGGCAGTTATATTTTAGCGGGGACTGAGAGGCACATTTACAGGGACTATGGGACCCGATAGAATTTTTTTTAGTTTAGAGTTTACACCTAATAAACTAAATCTATTATGCCAAGGAGACATTTGCAATTGGCCATTTCCACACACTGGACATAAGAACTTAAAAATTCATGGACATCTACGTGAAATGTCTACTCCAAATTTTAATAAGTTCTATTAGACTCAAAGGAATTTTTTTTTTTTTTTTTTTTTTTTTTTCAGTACGCGGGCCTCTCACTGTTGTGGCCTCTCCCACTACGGAGCACAGACTCCGGACGCACAGGCTCAACGGCCATAGCTCACGGGCCCAGCCGCTCCACGGCATGTAGGATCTTCCCGGACCGGGGCACAAACCCGTGTCCCCTGCAGCGGACTCTCAACCACTGCGCCACCTGGGAAGCCCATCAAAAGAATTTTTGAAAAAAAAAAAAAAAAAAAGAAAGAATTTTTGAGAGAAGAAAAGAATATTGTTTATTTTACAGCTCTTTTCTGAAGTGTAACCTTTGGATACAAAAAAATGTTTCTTTAATTCAAATTGATAAATATGATAATTAACATAAAAATAGTAAAATGTAACAGCAGTGCTATCTCCTAGGAAAACTTTGCCTATTTACAGATTTCAATACCTAGTCTTTTAGGTTGCACTGAAATCACAACTCTTAGAGCTGAGATAGGTAATGGATTTCATCTTTTGGATTAACTCCAATAAAATAATAGAGATTATCAGTACAGTATTTTGAAAGAATTCTGTACCTGCAATGGCTTTTCTGCATGTGGGGGAGAAAGTGGTTGTCCATGAGATACTAGCATCCCCTATTCAAGAGCTACCGACACTCAAGTTGTTCTTTTGATCTGTGTTATCTATAGAAGAGATGGTCATGCATCTGGTTAATGGTATTTCAGTTTGTTTATTGTTAATACTCTAAAAATTGAATAGCATGCTTCTACCATCCAGAGACATACAGTTTTCTCTGGAATATTGTGAGTTCGGTATTCATTGTGAGTCAATGGAAATAACTTGGTAAGTGTACATGCCTAGGAAGTTAGAGACCCCATGGCATTCATCACTAAGCAAATGATGACTCAAGGGGAACCAAATCTCTTACCAAGACTGTAGAAAAGAACATTTATTAACCCATATTCACATTTTAAAAAATGGAACAAAAGTCTCAGGACACAGTGATATCTACTTTGAAGTGGCCATTCAGTTCATTTGAATAAAAGACAAATATGTATTCATATTTTTTAACTTTACTCTCCTAGGTATCAATTAAATATTTTTGACTAATATAAAAATGTTTTCTACTTCCCACATAATACTATTTTGAAGCATAAAATCCTCCCTTTTTTATATGCAGTATAACCTTTTTATTTTTTTAATTTGAAATTCTATCTGGCTGAGTCAGATGATGTATAAAATTCTATACAGATTTACTAATAATGACCCTGTGCAAGTTTTCAAAATAATTTTAATCAGTTTCCATTTTTAATGAAATTAGTTCTAATTAAAATTTCTTTCTGGGGAGAACTTGGAACAACAAATTATTTTGAGGTAGCTTTCATGTTATATGGCTACATTTTTTTTCATTACATTCTTTTTAAACAGTCTTCTGATTTTGAAAATTATTTTGTCATTTACTTTTCATTTTTAAGTGTTCCCTCTGAGAAAATTATTTATTAATGTGAAAATATTGCCAAAATAGTATTTTTAATGTTTAACCTCAGCACAAAATCAGTAGTGCTATGAAAATGTGTCTAGTCAATGTTATACTCTGAAGGATTCTTCTTATAGGTTCAGTATAATTTGGGGCCATTTTATGATGTTTACTTTCCATCATTCTAAATGTTTAAAGGCTGATGTAAACTACAATCTGGGAAACAGATTTATAGGGACATTTTAAAATATATTTTCCATTTGTCTGAATAACAATTCACGTGGCTTTGCAATAGATCAAGTTTTAACATTAAAATTTGGATGTGATATTGCATGTCATGGCAACTCATTGCACTTATCAAAGCCTCTATATTGAAAGAAAGACATACTTCACTTTTTAAAGCACTAAACTCTCTCAAATTCTGTTTTAAAGTACGTAAATTAATTATAATTTCAGCATAAACAACACCCTTAAGAAATTTAAAAATTCATTAAGTCAATACTGATATGTCTTCAACATTACACAAAAATAGGATTGGGATGGTTCTTAAATTTCATCTAATCCAAACATGCTTCTAATAACTAAACTCTATACCATCCCCACTAAGTGTCCATCTAGGATATGCCTGATCATTTCCCACTATGGTGAAGTCAGTGAATCTTCAGGCAATCATTTCATCTCAGGACACACTTTCTTCAACAACTGGGTCTTAAGATCAATTCAAAATACATATCCTCTCCCACATGAGCATTTTCAAAT